CTGTTGAATCACTGCTGAACCACTGTTGAACCACTGCTGAATCACTGTTGAATCACTGCTGAACCACTGTTGAATGACTGCTGAATCATTGCTGAACCACTGCTGAAGGACTGCTGAACCACTGTTGAACCACTGTTGAACCACTGCTGAAGGACTGTTGAATCACTGGTGAATCATTGCTGAACCACTGCTGAAGGACTGATGAACCACTGTTGAATCACTGCTGAATGACTGCTGAATCACTGCTGAATGACTGCCAAACCACTGCTGAATGACTGCTGAACCACTGCTGAATGACTGCTGTTGAATGACTTCAAAATGATAGCTGACAGCTGAAATTGCTGAAGAAGCTGAAATTCTAAACTAAAAGAAGTAGAATGCTAAAAGCTATAAAGAGCAACTAGCAGAATGCTAGCAAATTGCTAAAACAAGCTAAATGCTAGTTAAAAGCAGTCAAATGCTTGCTAAGAGTAACAAAAGGCATGCTCAAAGGCTTCCTAAAAGCAACAAATAGCTAAATGGTGGCCAAACGTTAAATGTAGCAAAAAAATTTAGCTATAAGTTAAAAGTAGCAAAAAGCCAGCTAAAAGCAGAAACAGCTAAAAGTTGCTCAAGGCTACTTAAAATTATTAGAAATATTGTTAAAAGTATCAAAAGGCTAGCTGGAAGGTAAAAGTAGCAAATGACTAGAAACTAAAAGTATCAAAATGCTAAATAGAAGTTAAAACTAGCAAAAGGCTGACTAGAAGCTAAATGCTGCCGCGCAGTAATTCTACCCATCCATTTTCTTTACCTGCTTTTTGCTTTTCGGGTCACGGAGGTCACTGGTGCCCAAATCCAGCTATCACTGTGTGAGAGGCGGGGGACACCCTGGACAGGTCTCCAGTCCATCACATGGACATAGAGACAAATGAGACAAACAACCATTCACTCTCCCACTCACACCTAAGGACCATTTTAATTACCAGTCAGTCTAACATGCATGTTTTTGGTCTGTGTGAGGAAACTGGAGTACCTGGAGAAAACCCACACATGCACAGAGAGAACATGCAAACTTCACCCAGAAAGGTCCTCAGCCAGGATTTGATCCGGTGACCTTCTTGTTGAGAGGCAACAGCTCTACCAGCTGATCCACTGTGCCACTGGAGCAGTAATTTAAAAAAGTTACTAACAGGTAAAAGCCAAGTATCAAAACACTGGCTAAAAAATAAAAGTAGTATATGAAAACCGAGCTGGTACACTGAATCAGATTTCAAATGTTTTTGAAAGAATTAAGGAGATGTTTGTATAGTTGGAGAGAATATTTCTAAATAAAGTAAAACATTTTTGAAGAGTACAAAATTAAAGACTTGCATGTTCTCCTGATACACACACAGACCAAAAACATGCACGTTTGGTTCACTGGTAACTCTAATTTGTTTGACTGAGAGTGAATGGCTGTTTGTCTCTCAGTGCGTCCCTGTGATGGACTTCTGTCCCGTCCAGGTGTCCCCTGCCTTTCACACAGCGACTGCTGCAGATGAGCTCCAGCTCCTGCCACCCATAAAGGAGAAGCAGGTAAAGGAAAATGAATGGATGGATGGAAAGTTACAAAAAACAAAAGTCATAGCACCCATCACCTGAATGAGTGAAACATTCTGATTTGAACTAAAACATCTCAAAGCACGCAGCAATAATTATATTGAAAAAAAGTACAAAAATAATGTGACTGCTGACTCATCGCTCTTACAATAAATCTAATGGGACAGAGAACCGACAATAAAAATCTTTGTGACATTTTTCGTTCCTGTGACACTTGCTGCCTCAAATGTGGCGACGTTACCTGAGTATAGTGATTTATTGAACAGCATAAAGTCCAGACATGGGCCCATAAACCCGGTGGTCCAATCACCATTAAAGCACCAGCTCAAGGCTGTCATGGTTCAACTCAGGGCTCACACATCTGCATCCAGGAGAAAGATGTTTGTTGGTGGGCGCCTCCTAAATTTTGTCTGACTGGGTTGCGTGTAATGAGAAACATTTAGTTAAAGTTTAATGTGAAACCTCATACCCAATAACACCTTCAGAGCAAAGCCTGACTAAATTATTAAGCTCTGGCATATGGAAACAAGGGATGTCTTTAGCAGACAAATCAACAGTAAATGTCAAAGTGAGAGTGCAAATCACAAATGAACAAACACAATAAACCCTTTTCCAGCAGAGACTGGATGAGATGCTAACTACAGCTAACAAGATACTTGGAGCAGTACAACAAAGTACTAACTAAAGGCCCAGCAGTACTTGAATGAATGCATATCACCCGCTGTTTTACACACAAACGTTTCAAACACAGATCTCATGCAATCTTGTGAATGACTCTCAGCTACTGCTACACTAAAATTGAACACATCGTTAAAACTGACTGAATTACTGCCATTTTTGTTTTCTGAGTAAGCTGTGACGGCCATAGTGGATCAAAGGTAAACTCTAGATGTGCATTAATTATTTACTTTGAGAATCTCATTAAAATCCACCCAGTGGTTCATGAGATATTTTGCTAACAGAAACACACACACACACACACACACAGTACTGTAAGTTATCATCTGACTTCCATGGCGGCCAAAAATAATGAAGCTCTCTAAGACTCTCAATAACTTTCTGATATATAACATTATATCATCAATAACATTCCCAACTCAACCAGGCAGCCATTACTTGACTCTTAAGAGCTTTATGGACCATACACCTAAAATAAGCAGCTGTACAGATATTTAGCAGCTGAGATCCGGTTCTAATGAAGCCTTTGAATCTGGGCCTCGTCAAATTAAAATTGAGTCACATTAATGTATCCTAGTCAAACTGAACAATATCTATCTATCCATCTATCTATCTATCTATCTATCTATCTATCTATCTATCTATCTATCTATCTATCTATCTATCTATCTATCTATCTATCTATCTATCTATCTATCTATATATATATATATATATATATATATATATATATAGATAG